AGTGAAATGTTAAACTTTTTTGTATTCCAAATTGTTCCAGGAAGCAGATCCAAGCGGAAAGTGAATGGCAAGCAGAAGATCGGCTTCTGCCTATCAAGGCCACAGTCTTCTTACCAAAGGGAGACGATGCAAAGTTATCCCTTCCTGCCCTAGATGGTGGGAGAGATGACCGTTTACCTCTTCCGTTGCACCAAAAGGGATCTGCTCTGTTTTGTCAGGCAGAAGCAGAGAACAGCCCCTAACGGAGGTCGTTTGAGATGAGCAGCAAACCAGAGCCAGTGTGGTGCAGTGGTTACAAGCATGGTCTCTAATCTAGGAGAACCGGGTTTGATTCCCCACTTCTCCACATGCAGCTGCTGGCGTGACCTTGGATCAGTTCCAAGTTCTTTCAGAGCTGTTCTCTCAGGAGCAGTTCTTGAGAGAGCTCTCTCAGCCCCACCTACCTCACAGGGTGTCTGTTGTGGGGAGGGGAAGGGAAAGGAGATTGTAAACTGCTCTGAGACTTCTTTGGGTAGTAAAAGGCTGGGTATAAATCAAATTTCTTCTTCTTCCTCTTCCTCTCCTTCTCCACCAGAATGCCCTGAGTGCTGATATCAGGTGGGAGTTGCAAATTTAAAAAGCCACCTGTCCCTTTTATTTCTGCTCTCATGCACTATGGAATCACATGCTCAGTGCTCTCATCTGAGGAATGGATATGTGGTTTTTGCAACATGGATCTGGACTGCTATGAGCCATGGACATTTCCTCAACCACTTCTGTGCACTGCAATCTCCATGCAATATAATGCAGATCTGAACTGATTTAATGGTGCATTATTGTGTACCTCTGGTCAGAGATTTTTTTTCCTGCGGCTCATGCAACAGTATTCTGAAATCAGAGGCCTGCAGTGTAGGATATTTATTCACAACAGCAAGTATGCAGAGGTGGTGCACACAGCTTCCCAGCCTATAATACAATTTACCCTATAGGAACTGAGCATAGGGTTACCAGGTCCCACCAGCTGCCGGCTGGAGATGGGATGGGAAAGGGTAGGGTTGCCAGCTCCAGGTTAGGAAACTCCTGGAGGTTTGGGGACGCAGACTGAAGGAGGACAGGGACCTCAGTGGGGTCCAATGCCAGAGAGTCCACCCTCCAAAGCACCCATTTCCTCCAGGTAAACTGATCTCTGTCGTCTAGAGATGAGCTGTAATTCTGGGTGATTCCCAGGTCCCACCTGGAGGCTGGCATCCCTCCCTGAGTAAGATTATTCAGGAATGCATGAAGTACAACCGAAGTCTAGGTGTACGTATGGTGACCTCCCACTGGGAACAACACTTTGCACAGGGAGCCAATCAGCATTTGTTCCCCACCAACAGTGACAAGCAAGACCGGACTCGGAAAAACAATCCAAACCACACACTGATCACAGTTATGGGGGTGGGGGGGTTGAATACTGAAAGAACTCAACCGGCTCTCCAAATGTCATTCTAATCCAACTTTGAAGACAAATACTTGGAAGGGGGGAACCTCTGTACTGAGCACTGAGTTGCAACTTTAGCCAATGCAACAAAGGCCAGACACCACAAACTGTCTTGGCTCCAACACCAACTGGACACATCCTGTGTATTTATGACCATAACGAACATATACATCAAAGAAATCTAAACAATAGTAAAGCATAGCAGGCCACAACTGTGAGGAAGGAGTAAAAAAGTTTTTGAAAAAAGAGTATGGGGGGAAGGGCTGCTAAGATTCTCAAGTAGAATATCTCTCCTTGGTTCTGGTTTTTACTTGAATGCTGCAGTCTGACCTACTCTGTATTAGAATACAAACGGGTCAGCAATGCATTGGTCCACACCTGTGCTCAGGAGAACATCCTGTACATATTAAGTCTACTGTGCTTACAGTGGTCCTACAACATTCACAGTACACATGAATTAAGTGATTCCAAATACAAATAACATCTATATTTTATAGGTCCTTGGAAAATAACAATTCTTAAAACCCAAGTAACAATAAGATTGATTAATATTAACAATACACAGTAGATGGCACCATTTATCCAATCCATCCCTGTCTGTTCCCGTGCAGGTTCCACATATATTTACAAGTACTAGCAGGACTCTTTTTGTAGCAGGCACTCCTTTGCATATCAGGCGACACACCCCTAATGTAGCCAATCCTCCAAGAGCTTACAGAGCTCTTCTTACAGGGGCTACTGTAAGCTCTTGGTGGATTAGCTACATTAGGGGTGTGTCGCCTAATATGCAAAGGAGTTCCTACGGTGGCAACTAGTACTGGGGGGAACAGGCAGATGAAAAATAACACAAGTTGATAGCAGTACAGGGAGATGCCCATATAAATAGATTTCTGCTGCCTCTCAACCTTAGGCTTGGCAGACTATCTCCATCTTGCAGGCCCTGCAGAATTGGGGTTGCTAGTTCCCAAGTCCCAGCGGGGGTTTCCCCTGGGTTTTCACCGCCATCCAACTGGCCGGTGGGGGAAACCCCACCCCCAAACAGTGACATCACTACATGACGTCCCCAACACGATGACTTCACCCAGAAGTGATGTCATCATGTCAGGGACGTCGCATGGCGATGCTCTGGCTTGAGGGCCTAACTCATTGTTTGAAGCCAGTTTTACCATAGAGTTTTGCCCTCAAACCGGACATCATTGCGGAACATCTCCAATGTGATGATGTCACTTCCAGGTGATGTCATCACATTGGGGATGTCCTAGAACACCCCCAAATGTCCCTGCTGGGACAGCAAGGGGATCTGGCAACCCTATGGGGAACTGCATTATACCCTGCTGAGTCCCCTCTGTGGGCTCCATCCCCCAAATCTCCAGGTATTTCCCAACTCAGAGTTGGCAACCTTGCTTCCAACAGGGTTTTCCTGTGTGGGTAAGTCAATCCTGTTGCAAAAGATTGCTATAGCAGAAAGCCGGTGCAATATCCAGTGATGGGTGGCTACAGCCTGGCTTTGCGCGTACTGGAAGATGCTACACTTCAAAGACTCCAACTGAGAGAGAAAACAGGACAAAAACATTTGAAGTGCCACCTCACAGAATGAATAAAAGCCTCAGAGAAATATGCATGTGTGAACAGGAAACACAATTGGAGGCAACCAATGAAAAGTGCCAAATACACAGCAGTCTCGTTGATGCTCTCATCTGGGCAAGCTTGGATCCAGCATCCGAAGAAGTCAAAGACAACATTTACATGGTTTCCAAGAGAACGTATGCAAATTTTGCGTGCCATTTGCACAGAGTTGCAAAAAAGGTTCAAAGGACACAGGAGCGGGAAATTTCAGGGCAGACCGGCCTCGTGGAATGCAGAGGTAGCATACAATATGAAACTCAAGACTGGCTCCTTTTTTTGATGGCCGGCTGGCCTGACCCCCCACTCTGATCTTACAAGGTCGCTCTTGCCAGTATTGCTCCCACAATGAAGGCAGCATCTTTGACAGAGACTAAAGCAGCTATGATACACTTCCAGTCAATGTCACTTACGTGTCCAAATGGATCCAGATGGTTGTTGGTGAGCTTCAGCTTCTGGAAGGACACCAGCTGGCGCATCCAGTGGGCCCCTGTGGCGGGCGAGTCTGGGTGAACGTACAAGCGTCCGGGCATTGCAGGCTCTGCTTTCCCAGCCACCATCCTGTTCCCAAAGCAGAAGAAAAATGTTCACATTCCATGAGAAGTTGGTGTGCTTAGTTTATTTATTTAGGACTAACACCTTTTATCTGCCTTTGGTATTTATATTCTGCCCTCCTTCCCAGGAGACTGGGGCCGCATCTATGGCTCTTCCACCTTACCTTTATCTTTACAACAACCCTGTGAGGTGGCACAGGCTGAAAGAACAAAAGAAAGATAGCCTCATGGCTGAGAAGATATTTTGAGCCCAAATCTCCCTACCCAAGCTGTCTAACCACTGCACGACACTGCCTCACTATCAAGCCTCTCCCACCTTTCAAAGCAACCATGAACAAAACCATCAGCTTATCAAACCAGTGGATAACGCCAGAGGAAAATGTTAAAAAGAGCAGATAAAAGAACCAAGCCTTCTTAACATTCCTGTTTCAGAATACCAAATGTCCACCCCAAAATGACCTTGTATTTAAAAGCAGAGGGGAACTAGCAGAAGGCACTGATAAACTTCATCAGGCAGTCCTGTAGTTTCGGGGCTACAGTTGAAAAGGCCCTGTCCCTCCCAGTCACAGTTCTAATAATCATTTGGGAATAATCACTGGGAAAGCCCTTCTGCGTTATTCCAAACACAGTTCTGAAGAAGATACTTCAAAGTTCCTATCCAGCTTACAGTCCCAAGGTGACTTAAAAATAATTTTTAAAACATTTTTTTAAAAATACTTCTACAAATCATTTGGTTAAAAATCATCATCATCATCAGGACATTTTCATGGTAAAATGCAATGGAGCCTGCTATACCAAAGACTTTACAACTCAGGGTACAACTGAAAATTATATTCTTGGATCAATGCTCCCTCTAAATTGTGGAGCCTTGTGAGCAAAAATTCTACTTTGTGAGCTATTGGCATTAAAGCTGTGAGCGAGTGATTTGGCTCCTGCATAAAGAAGAAGAAGAAGAACAAGAAGGAGGAGGAGGAGGAGATTGGATTTATACCCCGCCCTTCACTCGGAGTCTCAGAGCGGCTTACAAACTCCTTTCCCTTCCCCTCCCCACAACAGACTCCCTGTGAGGTAAGTGGGGCTGAGAGAGCTCTTTCAAGAACTGCCCTTTCAAGGACAG